GTAGTATGTTGTGTGTGTGTGTGTGTGTGTGTGTGTGTGTGTGTGTGTGTGTGTGTGTGTGTGTGTGTGTGTGTGTGTATTTAAGAATCTATATATTTATGTTGCAGTAGAAAACAATATTCACCTTTAAGTCCCAGTTCTCCCGAAGAATCAGATTCTCCATTGGAGCATATAAATATAGATCTTATGCATGAACTTCGAGATGTGATATTCCCAAATACACCGCCAGTAGATAGAACGGTAAGTTTTTTTTAGATTATATAACATTTGTACATTACTATTCTGTAATTTAAACAAAAAGGATAATTACAGTGTTATCAACAATTATAAGTATATACTGATCTAGTTTACATTATGATATTCAAATTATAATCATATAAACCAAGCCTTTGATTTATGTATATTTACATCTGTATATGTCTATAACAAATAGTATCTAATAAAAAGCTAATTGAATGTTTATGATATAGCGTTATAATTAGAAAAATAAAATTTCTGCATGTGGTCCCAATTCGATAACCAAGGACTATAGTATGTAATGTATTTTTTATTGGATATGTGATTATATATTTATGTAGAAATACAATTATATATTTATACAAGAATAAAACATTTAATCTAGATTAGTGAGAAGAAAAAAGAAAACATGAAACGAAAAATCATTTATTATTTTTCTTATTATATTATTACTGACAATTATTATTACACATGTGACAAGTCATTTGGAGAAATCAAATTTATACACATTAGTATATACTTATAAATAAAAAGCTATTTGTATTTATATTTTTTTATAATTACATATATTTCTAAGTTTTTAACATTTGGCCCTATAGCAAAGAATATTTAACATGATGTAAACAAATTTAATCCATTTATCAATTTTTTCATTATTAAATTACCTGTTTGTCATGCATTAATCATATAAATTCCTGTTGCTTTTTATGAATCGTTTATTAATGTTTTAAGCAATTTTATTACTTTCATGTCCAATGTGAGATAAGGCAGCATACATATAGCATGTTCTCATAAGTTATGTCCAATGAGATATTAGATGTACGCATAGACATGTTTAATTCCTAGAAAAATGTGCATGCTTGAATCATCATCGTATACTTTTTCATTATTTTGTATTATTCTTAACATTTTTTTATCTATTTTATCACTTAGATATCGAGTTGATTAAATAAATTAATTACTTAGACAAGTTGAATTAATAACTGATAACATTAACGATGTTTCTTTACGGACATTAATTGTTTTATTAAATATTTATGCATTTTATTTTATGTCATTTTCTATATCATTAACTACATATGTACATATGTACATACATACATACATACATACATACATACACAGGATAACTTAGCGATCATAACTATATCACGTTATGCCTTGTAAAAAAATAAGTCGAAAAGTACCTGAACTATTTTTTTTCTATAATGCTTAATAAAGCATTAAGAATAGCAGTAAATAATTACCGAATAATCCAATCAATGTTGGGCTTCAGACAGTATGTACGTCAGTAAGCTATGCGCCTGGTAGTGTGCGTGAATACACAATTCACGGTATAGCTTTATTCAGTAATTATTGCTTAATTAAGCATTATAGAAAAAAATGGTTCAGGATTTTTCGATTTAGTTTTTTACAAGAAATAATGCTATATAATTAGTGGGCGTTATTTAAGTTATATTCTGTATGTATACATGTATATATGAGCCACAATGATTCTAATTTTAAATAAATAAACTTGTCATAAATAAACTTATTATATAAGGCTATTGAAAGTCGATAGAAAAACATTATTACTCTTTGACTATCAATATAATTTTTGATATGATTTTTGTTATTTTCGTAGCTATAATTTGTATCAATTAGTTTAATTTCTTGTAAAAAGAAAAAGAGTAAAGATCTGTCATGCATCACTTTCAGTTGAAACCAGTACGCAGTTTAGACAGCTTGAGACCTGCATGGAGTGGGCACTTACGGCACGGCCCTCTACCTAGTACTGTCATTACAAATCCACGCAAAGTTTCTTCAAAGCAAATTTTATGCTCCTCTTTCTCCTCTTCCTCTCGACCTTCTCCCCCTTCGAATAATCCAGTTAATCAATCATCTGTTTCGAGTTTATTGACGACAAAATCAAATGGCATCGTAGAGATCGAAACATCACCTTTACCTGTACTTCCTGCCTCATATAATCAAAGTGCTCAACCAAATCAATTTTTATATAAATTAGATAATAATGATTTCGTCAAACCTATTAATTTATCATCGTGTATCCATAAAAAGGAGAATGCAACATCTGAAGAAAGATCTTCGAATAGCAAGTTCAATTCGAAAGACATGTTTGCAAATACCGATTCAATTCCAAATACGTGGAATAACGAGTCTTATGAAAAATCCTTTAAAACATCCAATTTTCTTCATGAGGTAAACGAAGATGATCCTTTCGATACAAGTAGAATATTTTCGCCTACTTATTTGCAACAAACTACGTCACTTTATCAATTCACAATTCCTTTGACATATCCCACCCAATTTTATCCATTATCACGTCCATTCAATACTACATCCTGCTCTGCACAGGCTAAGGTAAACATCATTGTCCACTATCTTTTATATCTATAAAACGTTTTGATATCAGTTGTGGTTCATGTTTGTTGGGCCTACAAAGTGCGTAAGATACGATCAAAATATTTCAGATTTATCGAGTTATTATTTACAAGTCACAAATAATTAACAGTTGGAAAAATTAATATTTTTTTAATATGGATATAATACTAGTTTTATAAAATTATTATCGTACATTCAATTAGAGCATTTTGACAAATTAAGGATCTAGTTTGATAACAAAGTCTTCAGCTTTAATAAAGAAAATCTAAGGATTTAATTATCAAATAATTTAAAAAAAAGCTCGGTAAATCTATTTCTCAATGAATTGCTTCTTATTTATAGTATTATTTCCGTTGTATTGTCTATGTCCTCAACCTTTGGCTGTGGTAAATTGTATGGTACTTCATCTACAGTCAATATCAAATTATTAAATAATTATTATTATTTAATAATTTGATATTGGCTGTAGATGTTCACTAATTCCAAATGTATATACAGAATTATTGTATATATCACCACATAATATTTATCTCATAAAGTATGTGTTACAAAATATTTTCTCCAAACTATGAAAAATGTGAAGAAAATTTTTTTAAAACTTTCTGTAATTTATTAGACTTTTTAAATGGCAGATAAAGTATTGCCGCTAATTATCTCGTCAAAATGGGATAAAATACAACATCCTATTTTTTAAATAAAATTATATAATTTTTATATACACAATAGGATTTTTCTAATTATTTCGTACATAAAAGTATCAAAGTAAAAACTTAATCGATAATTCATAAGATATTTTATATTACATGTCGAAATACATATGTATGTCAAAATATAAAATATTTCTTCATAAATAACTTTACTTCATAAATAACTTTACTTTATATAATATTATTATGCGCAAAATAATAAAATAAACTTATTGATCAAAACTATAATTATTAAGAAAGATAAAGAACAAAGACACATTGAGAACAATTTAGAATATGTGAAATTGCATAATTTTTCTTAATATACAGAACAATATACAGA